ACATTCCCTCTCCAAATCACCCCTCACCTTGTAAACAACTCCTGTTACCCAGCTTTGCTGTTATATGAGAACCTACAAGAACTGAAAGGTTGCTTTGCTCTAATTAATGCTGATTGCATCATATAGGTGTAAAAGTAACCAAACTTTGCAGTTACATTAGTTCAAATCAGGTTTCAAGGAAGAATTGATACACATTTAGAATTTTGCTGAATATTCCTGAAATCATTATCTTAATTCATGTGTTCAGGGGAATCTCATTAGAATCCAGAAATCCAGTTCTGGCAACTTCTCCGATGCTGCATTCCCATTCCTGTTTCCCACTCCCAACACTCTTTTACTTTGTCCTCTGTAGACATGCGGCTATGAAGCTAGCTCTATAACAAAGATTACAACTCTATTTCAAAATGCTTAGAAAATACTTTCTCTTTGGCAAACACTAAATTTCTATGAACTATACAGGGAAGGAAGGCGCCCCAGTGATGCTGATGCTGCAGGTCTCTAGAAGATGCTCGAAGAGCAGGTGCTAACATACAGGAAATAGTGACAGAAAACAATATACACTACAGTTGTTTAAAAACCAAAGGGGTGCAGCAGCAAACTGCAGAGCTACAATAAGCCAGGGAAGTTTACTGATAGTCATTCTAATTAATGCCTTACAAATAGGGTCCAGAAGGAGTATCTTTATTTAGAATAGCAAAATGGAGCAAAGTACAAAGACAAAAGCAACATCTGCCGGACTTTTTTGATCATGTTTCTGATGTGAAACACCTAAGAATCCTTGTTAATTGTCTAGGGTAGAAATCCTTTGGTGCTTCTTTGCTGCCCAGACTGTTTGAGAGCTATTTGCCCAATCCTAGAAACCACCCAGGTTTCTTCATTCTTTCCTGCTCCAGCTTGTCTGGACATAAAAGGCCTCTCAAATCTTTCTGATCTCACCTGGGAGGCAGATAGGGAAGTTAGGTTGAGTGGGTGTAGCCCAGAACTTGCTTTCAGCAGAGAGGGAGAACCCAGAAGAGCTTTAAGGGTAAGTTGGGTTCACAGAATCATCTCACATGAAAATAATGGCAGTTTATCAAAAGGTAGAAGAATGTCTCTGTTAATTTTGGGATATGAGATGACGCATGAAGTTGGAAAGAGATTCGAGACTGACAGACTGGATGGTAATTTTCCGGTGAGACGTGGCCCAAGAATGTTAAGGAAAGAACAAGTGTATGTCTGGCTTCTATTGAGTGGGCCATAATCAGAGAAAAAGCGCAAGAGAAAGCTGACTTGCTTATCGTGAAAGAAAAACAACCTGCCACTTCTTGAAATGTGAGTAATCCTTAGGAATGGTGTGAAGGCTAATAAGAAATGCTGATATATCTAGAATGCCTCAGGGTTGTCACAGTGAAGATTAAATATCTTGCACATTAAGGATATAAAGGAAGAATGAATGACATCTGAGGAGAGTTGAAGTGGTCCTTAAATATCATGGGAACAAAATGGGAGGATGTCTTAAGAGTATGTTTATCTTTCAGCTTCTACTGACTCAGGAGCCCATGTCCTTGAACTTCTGAGTTCGCTCTAAGGAGCTAGAAGACCTGAGCTCATGTCTGGCCATGTGGCCTTAGACAAGGTTTTCAGCTTTCCTGCACCTCGGTTTCTCTATCCAGAAAAACAGATCATTTTGGTCCAGAGATTTCTTTTAAAAACTGCAAAACTTACCAGAGTTATGGGAGGTGGGGAGGAGGGTATCATAAGCAGACTCACGTGACTAAAGAAGCTGCCCTCTGAAGAATGAGCGGAAAGCAGGAAAGCAGGTTAGTGTTGTGGGTGGAGGATTTCAGTGTGAGCACTGCCTTTACGGTGTGCCTATCTGGCAGCTGGAAAAGTGGCTGTGTGCTTCCTCATTGGTGGAAAGGTGAAGCTGGGATCCCTGTGCACCTGGGTGGGTGGGGCTTGGGGTCCAAATCATCATGTGGGAGAGAGACTTGATTGAAGAGTATCATAACTCAATGAGGGTAAAATGTCATGATCTCTATCAGATTTCCATATTCCTTTCATGGTTCATTCCTTCAGGAGGCAGACTGCGGGTGGCCAACAAGACACCCTGATTTTGGTGGTGTAGACTCTGTGACTGAGATGTGTGATCTCTGGGAACATACTTCAGGCATTTATCTGTTCAGTGAAAACTTATTAAGAGCCAGCTCTATGAGGGATATTCTAGATCCTGTGGATAGGAACAGCAAGCATTTGCATGACATTTACTGTATGCTAGCATTAATCCAGCGGCTTTGCATATGTTAATGTACTTGATCCTCACTACAACCAAAGAAGTAGGACTTACTTTCATCTGAGTTTGCATTAGGCACTGAGAGGTTAACTGTCTTGCTCAGGGTCACATAGCTAGCCAGCTGAGTCGGGACATAAACACAGGCAGGCTGGCTTCAGAATCCATGCTCATCCCCACCCAGTGGAGATGATGAATGTGACAGGAGAGATCCCTGTCCTCACGGTCCCTGTTGTCTTGCAAAAGAGGGAGAAAATAGACAAGGCCACAGTAATGTCATAGTAGGTACTGCTAAGTGATGTCAGGAAAACTAAGGCAGGGCAGGGGAGAGTGTCTGTTTTAGATAGTGTGGTCCCAGGATGGCCCCTATGGGAAGGTGAAATCTGAGCACAGGCCTGGGTGGAAGGGGAAGGGACCTACAGGAACGTTTGGAGGGACTCCTCCAGGCACAGTGTGCACAGACACTGAGATGGGAGCAAGAAGTTCATGGAAATGGTGAGAGTGAGGGAGAGGAGGGCAATGGAGGGCCTCTTGGGACTTCAGATCGGCTTCAAGTTTTATGTTTGGGTGCCATGAAGCAAAGCCTGGAATGGGTTGAACAGGGTAGCAGCTCCTTCTTTCTTTTGAAAAAGATCACTGTGGTGGTGGTGTGTGAAAAACAGGCCAAGTGTGGGGTGGAGTGGGGCTAGGGGCACCTGGAGGACAGGTTAGAAGGCTACCACAGGAGCCAGTACAGAGGACGGTGGGCAGGAATACAGACTCTCCACCATGCTGTAGGCTGTTAGTCCAAGGCAACTAACGCCAGCTTGCAGCCAGATGGCTTGGGGGGCCACTATCCTTATACCTTAACTATGGTAAAGCCTGCATGTGGATTCAGGAAGAGTCTTGACATGAAAGGCAAGTGAGCAGAAACTTCCCAGCTGCTGATGTCTAACTGGTCCTCTGAAAGGATGCCAACGCTTTCATCCTTGAAGTGGTGACAGCATGCTGTTCTGCAAGGTCACTGTGGAAGCCCTGGCCCCACAGTGTGTTTCCTCCATCAGGAAGGTGCAGTGGCCAGGCTGCCCTGGGGAGGGCGCCCTTGCCCTGTACATGCCATGCTCCAAGAGTGTCCTGGGGGTAGACTCACTGGGAAGTCAGAGGGCTGGTTTAGTCTTTTTGTTTTTATTTTTTATTTTGAAAGGGTAGTTTGAGCATTTTAAACCAAGAAGTGACATAGACAATTAGATAGAGTGGAAGAAATGATGGCACAGATTATTTACAGTCCCCCTTTTCTAAGCAGTTTGTACTCTGTAAAATTTTACGCTAAAGATAAAACTTGTTTTGCCAACCTCTACTCAGAGAAAGTGCCAAAGAACAAAATCCTTCTGAGTTTATGCAAAATAAGAACTCGGGCTGCTGCTGCTTCTATGCTCCACTGCTAAAAGATCTCATAAAATTCCACTACTGGTGACTGGAAATGTCATTGTTCTTGAGTTTTCAAAATGTTGACTCACATAAATGCCACTCTCAAAGTATATGCAAATGTGCAGATCAGTTTCTTTTCTGAGTACCCTACTAGCCTCATGGCTTTAGTTAGAGATCATTTCTGAGGCCTGAGTGTGGCAGTTATTCTATTACTAGATAGCTGTAGAACTCAAGGATGGTTATGAGAATCCGAAATGCTATTCTAGAAAGAACTGTTACATTATGTAGGCAATGTAACAGGATCTTTAATCTTGACATAAACTGCCAATTATAGTTTCAAATATTGCTTCTCTTTTGAATTCTGTTTATAGGCAAGCATGAAGAAGGGTCAGGGAAAGATTATTGTCTAATTTAATGTCAGCCAAGTTGCCGTCTCCCGATGATGCTAAAGAAGCCCTTTCCAAAAAGTACAGCATAACTTACAAAAATGGTAAAGGGTTTTCCCTTCCACACTTTATAAACACATTTCCTGCAAGTAAAAGAAACACGAATAGAAGCAGAAATGGAGTTTATTGCGTGATTGCTAAGTCAAAGACAAACAGTGAAAAGGGTGTTTTTTAGAGAGCGAGGAAACCCATCAGTGGAAGATGACTTTAACCTCTGATGTTCTAATCACTCTTGTGGATGTATCAGACCATCCAGGAGACCCTGCCCCAGCACATGCTCCACCCACCTCATGAGAATGAGAAAAGCAAGCACAAGTCAAGGTGATCCCTGGCACTTCCACAAAATGAAAACTAAAACACCCTCCAGGGTCCTTTATTGCGGTCAGCACCCAAGCAGCTGTACTTTACACCATCTGCACCTGCAGATGCACCTCCCACGTGGCAACGTAATTCAGGTTCACCACCCACGATGGTGTCTTCAAGAAAAAGGCAACATTCTGTTTATCCCAAATTATGATGAAAAATACTAGGAAAAAGAGAATGTATTTATACTATGAAATATATCCAAGCATATATGTGCAATACATCTTACAAAAACTTAGCTTTCAAAAAAAGTAATGCAGAAGTTTCTCATACTTAAAGCATCAGCTTTCCATAAGGATATACTCCCTGGAAATTCCGGAAAGCTGATATTTTAAGCTCAACTTGAATTTGAAAACATGAGAGTTCACCTTTCCATGTCTGTATTAGTACAAGGAACAGTTTCATGATCCTACTCTGTAAATCACCAACACCGAAAGCGCTGCTGTCTAATCAAGGGGGATATGTCAAAGTTTAAAGCTCTTAATGAAAAACAGTACATCACTGAACCATCTTACCTGTCGACGAATTATTCCAAGGTCTCTCTTGGCTTTATTCACCAGGGTTTGAATTTCTACAGGATCCTTTACATTTTTATTTTCTCTGAAGCCATCTCTTATCCTCCTGACAGCATACGTTCTAAATGAATTCAGAGGAAAAAAAAAAAAAGGTGTCAGTATGTCTGAGGCTATGCTTTTAAATGAATTTAAAAGCTTGTTCTTCAGAATTAACTGTCTAATCTTCCCCTATGGATAATCCACTTTGATCTTTGCTTGTGGGGCAGGCCAATCCATTAACACTCTGGGATGACTAAGCAAACAGATTTAGGAAAATAAATCTACTCTCAACAAGTCACATGCAAATGGCAAACTGCTACTGAAATATTCCTTAGATTACTGGTTCTTTAGCTTCATGCGCATCTGGCTTGACTCCTTTAACATGGATAATTGAACCTTCAATGTACAGAGACAAATCAAGAATTCAGAGGTTAGCTGCAATGAAAGACCCTGTCGCAAAAAAAAAAAAAAAAAAAAAAAAAAGAAAATTAAAGAAAATAATTCGGAGGTAAAACGATGACGACATTTGCATGTACCCAGATAGTGACCTATGCTTTCCAATTCCTGTTCCATCTTCTGACTCTCACTTCCCTTTCTGTGGTCCACGTTAGGATCCCACCACAGCTGAAACTGTGAAATTAGGCCAACAAGCTTTTTCCCCCACCATCTTGAAAGTGCACACGCCTACCGCCCACCCCCAACCAGACAGACCACCTGCAGTACAGGACAGCAGTTCCAGAGCAAGCTTTGCAGATCAGACAGGTTTGGGTTTATGACCTTGCTCCAGCTCCTACTGCCTGAGTGAACTTGGGCAAGCTTCTTAACATAAGGCCATGTCTCCTCATCTTTCAAAAAGGCATAATACTGCTAAGCGCCGCTGGGAGGATTAGGCTTTATAATGTGTGTCTGGAATTTGACCCAAAGCCTGTTATATGGAAAGACTCAATAAATGAAAGCTATTCTTAACACTTGTTATGGCTTAATGCAATTAGTATTCCTCCTCCTCATGCCATAGCCTTGCCTTCATCCTGCACGCTTACAGTCACACCATAGTGTGTTTACAGAAGGTAGAATGGTCTGGATAATTAGCCACAACAGACAACTCAGCAGTCCTTAGACATACTCCCACACTCAGATGGCTATGGCCTAACTCTGTGTCTACCCCAATTACTCCAGATTGAAAGGCACAACACTAAGGAGAAGCAGGCTGAGCGACACACGTGAGACACCATTTTCTCTATTTTTTTTTTTCCTTTTTAGAGATGGGGTGTCCCTCCATTGCCCAGGCTGAAAAACAGTGGCATGATCATAGCTCACTGCAATCTCAACCTCCTGGCTCAAGTGTTCCTCCCGTCTCAGCCTCCACAGTGGCTAGGATTACAGGCACCCACCACCATGCCTGGCTAATAAAAAGAAATTTTTGGAGGGGATGGGGACTTGCTGTGTTGCCCAGGCTGGTCTTAAATTCCTGGGCTCAAGCTATCCTCCTGCCTCAGCCTCTCAAGTAGCTAGGATTACAAGCACAATCCTCAGTGCCTAGCTCTCTAGTCTTCTTAGTGATCACAAACTGCTCTGCTTTTAATTTTGAACACCAGTTAAAGAATCCATGTGATGCTCAGCAATAGAAGAATGGAAATACAGGCAAAGAAATGAGAGGAGGGGAATATCAATTTCCTTGGGAGTAGCGGGGAGGGGGTATTGGGAGATTGTATAACTTATTGGGAAACCTTATTTTAGAAAGGACAAATTTTGTTTTAGATAAACTTTTCTAAAGTAAAAAGGCATTTTACATTAAAAAATTCAAATGTCAGGTCTATTTGCATTTAAAAAGCAAGAGTAAAACTAAATCTTATAATATTAGGAATCATAAAGGAGAAAGGAAGAGTTTAGAAAGCGGTACTTTCAGAATGTAAGACATTGCTGAGACTTTGATCTTAACCCTCTGTGAACCAGCTGGAGTTACTTCAGAGGAGCTGCTGAGTGCTCAGTATCAATCTTCAAGGGCTATAGTGATTAGGCCTGGAATCCATATACTAGCAGCTGCTAGATAACTGGGGCTCATTCACTTCTAAAGGGATATGGGAGGATTTTACAAATAGAATACATCAGATACAGACTCTCCTCAGGTGCTGCTGCTAATCTAACAAGATTTTAAATAGCAGCTAGGTAAATTAACAACAACTTCCGGCACACTTTCTTGCACAGCCTAAAGGCTATTTATAACACAGTATCACTGTTCTTCTTGACACCCACACATTCCTCCAAAGCAATTTCTTTTTTGGCAGTGAGGGCAGCAAAGAGAGGACAAAATAATTTAATTCCAATATTTGTTCCATATGCAACATTGGTTTATAACATGAATTTACCTCCGGGAATCATTTATTAATTTTTCATTTGAGATGCTGCATAGGCTTTTTGGAAAAACCAAACGGGCAATAACAGTCATCACTAAACTCATTTTTCTAAAAGCTAGTAACTAGCTTAGAACAGCTAGAAAACAAGGAGTACTGCTTGGAATGTAAAGACCTAAGGTCTTCCAAAGTTTAAGGAAACAAGAAAATAGCTTAAAACACTCAACAGTTTCTATCAACTGAGTTCAAGGTCCAGCGTCAGAACATTCTGCTATGTATTCCTGTTTGTCTTCCCAGCTCTCCAAAGTCCTTACCTAAAGAAAAGATGCTCTGGATCTTGGAATTTAATGTGTCTAAAGCAATCAAGAGTTGCAGTTCAAATTTCTGATGCACTTTTGAGATGAATGCTTTCCTGCTCTCTCTGCCCCACTTAAAGCACCAAGTGTTATTCTTTGCCCTAAGGGAAAATATTTCACTGTCTCAGCATCACAAAACTACCACTGCATGAACATTTTATTTCTTAGTTGTAAGAATTCTTATTTCAAATGATCACAGTTCTGTGAACGTCATCACAAATCTGGGTGAATCTTCAAATCTGGTGGGAGAGGGTTAACCACCAATTATTTCAATACTGGCCCTGCCCTGGTTTTTACCATTTGCTTTTTTTTTTTTTTTTTACTTTTTTTGCACATTCTGGCTATCAGCCTCTTAACCGTATCACTGAGCAAGAACATTTCAAAGAAAAATTTGCGGATGCTGCAGTAAAAATGGCAGCCAGCTGCTATATAATGCCTTGCGTTAGAATGATCCTAATGAGTCTGATGCTGTCTGAAATAAGGCATGAAAAACTTAACACAGAAAGGGCAACAGAACCAAATGCAAGAAAGCAGCCTGCATCCACAGAAACAGTGAGGCGATGATGCTCACACACACTGCTCTCTCCACCCTCCTGAAGGCTGGCAGTTTCTTGGTGCTTCTTTGTGCAGGAGATTCCCATTTGGCTTTCCTCCTCCACCTCAGCCTTTGTTCTTCACTCTGTCATCAGATCTCAAGTGCTCACAGGTTCTTTTTAACATTCCAAGGATTATACTCCTTTCTGAGATTCCTCCGCTGCAATTTCCCAGCTGCACCAGCAACACAGCAGGCTGTAACGAAAGCTCTTTAGTACTTGAGGTTCTGGTTTACTCTATCCGCTCCCAGAAACACCAAATGCAGCCATAATCACAGCCTCGGAGCGCTTACAGGCTCAGATCAGCTTTAGCATCCAACGTGTGATACGGAAACCAGCTAATGTAATGCCTTTCATTTCTGTCATCTTCACCAGCATCTCAAGTGCTGGTTTCTCTGTCTACCCTTCCTATAAACACATCTGTGCCTTTTCTTGCTCTTCTCCAACCTTAACTCAAGTATCCTAAGAACATTAAAAGCTCAATACTTTCTACTGGCCTCTGTGGGGCAAACTCTCATTTACTTCCAACGACTTGGAAGACACATCCTCCACCTACTTACCTTAACTGAAATGTGCAAGAGAAAGCTGCTAAATTCTAGCATGTCCCCATATTCCACAGGGCCCAGAGGAGTGTGCTGGTGTATTCTGGGAGCCTGGGGCTGCTTCGAGATCTCTGATTCACCCTTATGCATCCTTGAGGCCATGCCATCTGACAATACTGTGTTGCATGCCTCCATGACACTGTTATTGGTTAATTTCTGGAGGTCAAGTTTTCACATTCAAGTCTTAATGTCTAAAGAGGAGTCAGTGTAATACACAGACCACCAGTTTTAGGTTTATTATTTTAGAGACAGGGTTTCACTGTCACTCAGGGTGAAGTGCAATGGTGCTATTATAACTCTGTGTAGCCTCAAACTCCCGGGCTTAAGAGATCCTTCCACCTCGCCTTCCCAAGTAGCTGGGAATACAGGGGCATGCCACCATGCCATGCTAATTTTTATTTTGTAGAAACAGGGTGTCACTATGCTGCCCAGACTGGTCTCAAACTCCTGACTTCCAGTGCTCCTCTTGCCTTGGCTTCTCAAAAGTGCTGGGATTATAGGTGTGAGCCACTGTGTCTGGCCTAGCCACTCCTTCCTAGGCTCCCTTGTGGGCTCATCTCATTCTGCATTCTCTAGGGCACGTATGTGAACCTCTTTTCTTATTCATAAGATCTCTGCCAGTAATTGCATCTGTCAAAGGTTTCCACTACCGTATAGGTGCCACTGGCTACCAATATTTCTCTAGTCTAGACCTTCCTTCTAAGGTCCAAATCCACATACTCAATTGCCTTTTGGACTTGTCAACTAAAATACAGATGCTTCCAGTGAACACATTCAAAACTAGACTGCCCATGAGGACCAATATTTCCTTCCTCAGGTAGGAGAATCTTCATGCAGCCAACTGCCCAAGTCAAATACTTCAATACTCATCCTAAATTCTTTCCTTTCCCAGAACTTTCTGTATGCAATCAATCACAAATCCTCCAATTTCAACTTTCCACATCCCTTCTGAATCACCTTCTACTTCTCCAACTCCTCAGCCCCAATCTTGGTTCAGGCTCTTCTCTCTCATAGTAATTTAACAGCCTTAGGGTTATGGTGTGTGTATGTGTGTGGTGTATAATAAAATGGATCACGACGCCTATGGAGAGGAAGCTCAAGGATCATTTGAAGGTCACATGCACTCTGGGTAGATAAAGAGTGAAGAAGAGCAGAAAGCTTCTTTTCGATAATGTGAGCT